GAAAGAATCAGAAAAAAGAGAAACATCACTAAGGAAATGAGAACAATAGAGTAATAAAGACAGTAGATAACGATTGACATTGCATTTAAATTTTTCGAGATCAAAGTTGACTGGAAAGCATGAAGCCAGAAGAAAGTTCCACAATCAAGAAGTGCTAGAAAAGAAACTGTTAGCATAGAACTTACAGTTACATCTAGACAACTCAGTTGTAAATTGATGATATCTTGTTGCCAATCTAGTAGTTCATTTAAATTCATATGGTCCAGGTACTACAGTGTAGAGTTCATCAAAACAATTACCATTAAAGTATTTATAGAAAAGGCACATGGAAGCTTCATTATAGAAGTGGGAAAGTGACTGAAGCCAAGAAGCCAGTTCTTTGGTTTTCATCAAGAATCACTAAATACATCCTAGGCTGTAGCCTATACTAACCTATATGTAAATCTGCTCTGATAAGATACATTCAAAGTTGAAAAATAACTCTGTTGTCCATTTCTTTTTTTTCTTTTTTTTTAAAAGTACATTTTCCATATATCATAAATTCCCTTAATTTATTATGGTAGAGACATATGTCACAATTCTGAAGAATCCTAACTGGTTGGTTACAGATAGTCCTTTCATCTGTCCTAGTTTTTCAGGTTCTTTGACTGCTCTGTGTAACAAATGTTGGCTGAATTTCTGGAAAATCTGTGTTTCTTTAATTTTTTTTTTCTAGGTTCGTTATTTACTTAGCTGGTTGAAATTTTACCTGGGATTAGGTTAGCATATTTTCTACAAGGTGTGCAAATTAGGGTTTACAACATTGAGTAGAATATGGTAATATTTTTAAAAACAGTTGTTTTAAAAAGATAAACTGAGCCGGCCACAATATTCTTTTTTAATTATTTCACCCCAAGCAAGGAGGAAGTGCCACAAGTACACAGAGGGTTACAGAGAGTGAAAGTGAGAGAAAAGACTAGATATAGAGGGGATTGAGGGGGTTACAGAGAGTGAAAGTGAGAGCAAAGACTAGATATAGAGGGGATTGAGGGGGTTACAGAGAGTGAAAGTGAGAGCAAAGACTAGATATAGAGGGGATTGAGGGGGTTACAAGGAGTGAAAGTGAGAGCAAAAACTAGATATAGGGGGATTGAGGGGGTTACAGGGGGTTACAGGGGAGAGTGAAAGTGAGAGAAAAGACTGGATATAGAGGGGATTGAGGGGGTTACAGAGAGTGAAAGTGAGAGCAAAGACTAGATATAGAGGGGATTGAGGGTGTTACAGAGAGTGAAAGTGAGAGCAAAGACTAGATATAGAGGGGATTGAGGGTGTTACAGAGAGTGAAAGTGAGAGCAAAGACTAGATATAGAGGGGATTGAGGAGGTTACAAAGAGTGAAAGTGAGAGCAAATACTAGGTATAGAGGGGATTGAGGAGGTTACAGAGAGTGAAAGTGAGAGAAAAGACTGGGTATAGGGGAGATTGAGGAAAAGATAAAAGATGAACGTGATTCAAGAAGACAAAAGATGGCGATAGACATTGCATTTAAATTTTTGAAGATTGTAGTTATCAAGGAAGCAAGTAAGCAGAAGGGAGTTCTATAGTTGGGAAGTGCCAGAAAGAAAACTTTTGAATTAGAAGTTTAACTATTTTAACAGTAAAAGGTTGGGAACCTAGAAGCTAATCTAGTAGAATTGCATAAATTCATGTAATTGGGGCAAAAGGGAAAAAATACTCATTAGAGCAGTTGCCATGAAAATGTTTGTAGAAAAGACCAAGGGAAGCCATACAACATCTGTGGAAAAAGTAAACAAAAAATCCACAAAATTTCAAAGTTTTTTCTCTTATTCCTATATTTTTCTGTTCTCTCAATTTCTGGTGAAGCTGTAATAAAAGTGAAACATGTTAGATTGATATACATTTACTATTTGTTCTTTATCTTATTAACCTGTTGGATTCCAATCCATATTTGATATGCATTTGATCTTTAATTCTCTCTCTCTCACACACACGTGCACACAGATGCACACACATATATACATAGGAACCTTGGTTGTCAAACGTCTCACATGTCAAACAAATCAGTTTTCAAACAAAAAATTTGAGATGAAAATGCCTCAGTTATCGAACAAAATTTCAGTTATTGAACATAGCCAAACTGAGTTAACATGAACAGAATAATTTCTGAGCCAGCCCTTGTGTTGTATACACCCGTGTGTTGTTCCGTACTTTTCTTTTCCAATTTTATTGTACTGTGACTTTTTTTCTCTACATTGACTCCTATTGGAAAAATAGTTCCAGTTTACGAACACTTTGGGTTAAGAACGGCCTTCAGGAATAAATTAAATTTGTGAACTGCGGTTCCACCGTATATATTATTATTATTATTATTATTAACATTATTTTAGTGCAGAAATCTCCAAAATGCTTAATATTGGCTCCTGGAGGTCAATAAGACCCTGAAGTGTGACAATAATTGCCTGGGCAACCAAAGGGGATCAATAAATAAACTATCTATGACTCACAAGTTTCAATAAAAGTTATATAACTAATGTTATTTGTGAAGTTTTTCTCAATGTTATTATTGAGTGAGAGTGCAGCATACCAACAAAGTGACACTGTAATACAAATATACTAAACCTAATGTACCAAGTTGCCTTGGCTGACTCATCCTATAAACTTAAAATAATCCTTTTGAAATTGGCTGACATGAAGTGGAAGGATTATCTTGAATCTGTTGCTAGGTCTGCTGCTAGGAAAGTGGGTTCACTGTGTTGTGCTAGATGATTTTTCTCACTAGAGTCTATCTTAGTGATTTTCCAAGTGTTGCTTAGATGTGGCACATGGCCAAAAGTAGGGGGCACCCAGTGAGGATATCTTACACATATATAAATCTACTATTCATCCATGCTTTGACTATTACTGCCACATCTGGTTTGGTGCTTGTGCTGTATATTTAGATATTCTTGATAAAATCCTAAGAATAATCTGCAATATTATTAGTCCTGACCTGGCATCTCAGCTTCTGTCTCTTTCCCACCACCATAATGTAGCTCCCCTATGACTTTTCTATAAATACTTTCATGCCTATTGTTCTGATGAACTTTACTCTATGGTACCTAGATTTTATTAATTTAATTGCAGTACTAGATTGATAACAAGGTCTCATCATTTTACAGTTGAAATGGCGAGATATAAATGTAAGTTCTTTGCTAACAGTTTCTTCTCTTGCACTTCTCACCTGTGGAACTCTCTTCTGTCATCTTGCTTTCCGGACAACTTTGATCCTTAAAAATCTAAATGCAATCAATGACATGCAGATGTTTTGTGACTTCTTGAGTGTATGCCCCTAAAGCTTAAGTAGTTAGGTGGTCCTATAGGACCTAGTACTGAGAATTGTGAGACAGGAAAACAATTTAAATACGCTCCCTCCACTACACCTACTCATGACCAGAAATGGACAGTGCACCAAAGGGGGGTCAATAAATGCCTAGAGTTAAAAAAAAAGAATTGATAAATCAATTATGGTGACTTATGACTAAAACTCACCAATGGTGACTTATGACTAAAACTCACCAATGGTGACTTATGACTAAAACTCACCAATGGTGACTTATGACTAAAACTCACCAATGGTGACTTATGACTAAAACTCACCAATGGTGACTTATGACTAAAACTCACCAATGTCCAACCATCAACTGTTCATCAAATACATCCTCCCCCTTAATGATGTCAGCCAATTCAATAAAAAAAGTTTACCAATTTAGTTTTACAGTCTTTATTATTACCTTTAATTAATATATTACCTATAACTGATATTTAATATATTATTTTTTTCTTGCTATTATTGTTTGTCTATATTTCTGAGATGAGGTATTGTAATTATTTACATTATTTACATTGCTCAGACTGTTGTCCTCATCTTTACTGCCATTTTAATGATGTTTCGGCTGATTTATGCTCCGGCCTTCTTCAGGTGATTGGAATTTCGAAAGGAAATCAGCACATATGCTAGGCCACAAAAATCTCCTAAACCAGCCAAGCATAGAAATGAATACAATACAGAGTGTTAGAGAAAAGCAATAACAACAAAAAAATTGCAATATGAGCTCTGGTGAAAAATGTTACTGAGATATGAAGTTTGTATGCCCCAAAAATTCATACACTGATGTCCTCAAGGACACTTGGTCCAGTGGATGAAAGCGTTGGTTAGATCCAGTGACTTGATCCAGTTCAATACCTGGCTATGGCAGTGGTGAATAAAAATTTGATAGTTGAGTTAAAGGGTGATAACTGATACATCCGGAAGAGGTATGACATGTGGAACTAGAACAATCTATCCTCCCGCTGGAAGAAATAAAGTGTTCAGTTTGAAATTTCAATCAACTGAAGATAGCTAAAGCATACAATGGCTGAAACGTTGTGAACATGGCAATAAAGATGAGGACAACAGTCCAAACAATGTAAATAATGTAGATATAATTATTGTTGTTGTGATTATTATTATTACTGATGTTGTTCGAACAAACATGTCCAGTATAGGAAGAGAAATAGAAACTGAAAAAGGAGTTTAAAAAAGTAACACTAAAATGAACCTTGCTGAGAAACAATAAAAAAAAAAAAATGGAATTTCTACCCTTAAATAAAAAATAATTATGATTCATATTTTTTATTTTTATTTTTTTTTTTTTTTGTACATACCTGAGAGTTGTTGAAGGATAGCATGAAGGTTTCGATGATCTAAAAAGTTTTGACTCTAAACACCCCGTTTTAGTAGGTACACATTTTGGAACAGATATCTTTGTTTATTTGCAAACAGTGAAAAAACGTCTACCGGACTAGATCATGGAAGATATTATTAAAGAAAATGTATCTTTCAGATTATTTTATTTAATTAATTACATACACTTTGGAAAAACATTCTATTTTCCCCTAAAACTCAACTGTTATTAAAAGTAAAATGTTTATAAAAAAAAATAAAGAAAATAAAAAAAATTTGATCTTCCCCAAAAAATGTTGATGGCTTTTGAAATATCACTGTATTCCCCCCGCCGCGTCCCCCACTTCCTGTTCGTAGATATTGAGACCGTGACTCACAAGCGGTCCGTAGGTATATCTGCCCTTTCACTTAGCCGCTGCAACGAAGAAGGTAATTTGACTAAAAACGAATAGTACTTGCCCAAAAGAATCAAATAGTTCGGGTCGCTGAGACATGGGTAAAATTTTTGTTGTTGTAATATATTGTAGAGTACCGTTGGTTGAATTAGGACAAAACCTGACTTGTTCATTTTTGAAAGATCCACCTTAAAGCTAAAACATTAAAATCTTTTTCTCAGTAAGAGAAAAGAATAAATGCAATCGTCTCCATTATTTTCCTCTTCTTCTTTCTCGATTTCGTCTTTCTTTCTTCTTAAAACTGCTATAGCAACAACAACATCAACATTTGTATTATCTGTAAAGTGGTTGAGAGTAAAAAAGAAAGTGTGTGTTAAAGAGAGAGGGGGGAATAGAGAATAAATTAAGGCAAAACCAATACTACTTTGTTTTTTTATGACGTAAATTTTATTTAAACGTAAATAGAAAAAATAATTCCACATTTATTGCATATTTCTTTTACTTAAAAAAATGTCAACCAATAAGTAAAATATTTTTACTTTTTGATTAGCTCATAATGACACGCAATCCGCAGTTCCCCAACCGACAAAAATAAAATAAAATGGAAAAAAAAAGTGGAGGATTTGTATTAATTACCCACGATATTAATAAATTTTATTACTTCTTAACACACGAACAGAATGGTCGGTATGAAAATTCGTGTTGAATCGATCTTCCAAATGGGTCTGCTAGATTTCCTGCTTTGGCACTTAATCTGCCTTAAAAATCCACACTCCACGCCAATCTTTTGAACAGGAGCAGAAGTTTATCCCTTGTTTCCTGTTTAGGTTTGGGTTTCCGGTTCATTGTAAAAAGTTTACTTCACCTCTATACTTCTAATGTCTCCGCCTAAAACTCTGAACTTTTTATCTACTATTATTAAATTACTTTTTCTTTTCGCAAGATACGCTCATCTATCGTGCGGTTCAAAGTTCAAACCCTTCCTTAATTTTTTAACACGAGTAGAAATTTAACCATTGTTTCCTGTTTAGGGTTGGGTTTCCTATCCCTTCTAAGACCTTTTCATTCTCAGTCACTTCCGCTGGCCACTTGCGTCTTGGTGGCATTATCTCCTTGCTTGTGGTGGTGCCTCTTACTCTGTAACCCTCTACCTCGAGTGGCTCTTGGGCCATGTACAGAGTTAAGATCACTGTAAAAAAAATTGAAATCATAGTTTTTCTTTCGCTGTGTTCGAACCGACTGCAAAGCAAATCTGATCAAAAAATTATTTTACTAACGAAATGATTAAATCGTTTTTATATGAACTATTTTCAACGAATTTCAACATTTAACAAAGACAGGATATTTATTCTCGGTTACAAATTTATTTTTGATTATTTTTTTTTTCCGGTGAAAATATTTAGGGATCTGGAGACACGGGGGGTGCGGGTGGGGAGATTTCTTTGATGTTATCATTTCTAATTAATTGAGTTATCTTAATAACTTAAGTTGTCCCTAAATATTTTATGAAATCGTTTTCTTTATTAATTTTGAATAGTTTTTTTTCTATTTTCATAAATTTATTTAACACTGTATCCGTAAAAATATTTAAACTTCGTGCCCGAAAGAAAAACGGCGAGTCAAAAGGACGGTTATTCCCTTGACACCGCTATTAGTTTCTATACACTGTTGATTCCCTCTATAATATTTATTTGCAAGATTGTAACAATACGTGAACCGAATACAGTGATATTTATTATTTACCTTTTAGAAAGATTTATTATATATAGATAGCTAACAAAAAAAAAGCGATACCTAAGGTTTAAAATGCAGTTTTAAAATGAAAAAAATCTTTCTTGAAGTTTTTATTTTAGTTTTAATTCCAACCGAATAGATTCAGTTTATTACTTCCATGAAGTAAAATACTTTACTCTATTTCAAACCGAATTTAAATTGGTTGAAATTACTTTTTGAAACCTTAAACTCGATCATATTGAAAAATCTGTCAACACAACATAATTCTCTTTATTAAAAATCTTTCAAAAATAAAATTACTTTTCTGAAGCTTTATTTGATGAAGATTAACTGATTTCAAGTTTAATTAATCTGAATTAAAAGAAATATTACTTTTAGTTAAAGATGTCGCAGAAAAACATTTTTAACACAGAAGTGGGTGTTTTCATAAGATTTTCATACATTTATGGACTGCTGAATGGCGTTTTAAACTGAAGGACACTTAACTGTAAAAAAAATACTTGACGAATACAAAGTAAACGCTTTTTTATGTAATTTTTTAATTACACAGTAATCTGAAAAAAAATTGGAAAATATTCTGAGTAATGTAATATTTTATTAAATTTTATGTACTTTGGCTTTATAGTCTTACTTACGAGGACTTTTATTGAGGAAATGTTTGAAAATTATCAATAATTTTAAAATTTACTATAGTTACCGCTGTTATTTTTTTTTGATAATGTCGTGTATGGGCGCCCTTATTTATAAAAATCGGCACGTTCATACATACACAAGAAGGAAAATTCTTTTTAAGATGTTGGGGGTCGTTGAAGCTTTTCCATTTATAATTAGTAAATATATCTTCTACTTAACAATATCACCTAACCGTTACAAATTAATACAGAATTTTAAAAGAATTTAAACTTTATAAATTATTGTAATTAACATCTTAAAAATATTAAAACAATTCTTGTAAAATTCATCATTCATCGAAAGATTTTTTAAGACTATAATGTTCATAATATATTTTATTTATAAAAGCAATTAAAAGCTTTACTAACTAAAATAACGTCTTAGTTTTATTACATTTTTATACGAGAGAGAAGCAGATTTTCTGTAACTGGGAGTCCTTTTTGATAAAAAAAAAAATTGATGATTTAAATTCTCCAAGAACTTGTGCTTATAACTAATATAAACATTAAGCAGTAAAAATTTATCAAATTTTCATAAAATGAATTAAATGGGTAGGAAACAGGTGTAAAGAAATATTTTTACCAAGAAACAAACATTTCTAAAAAATAATGTAATTCCTTTGTGAATAAGTCCTGAAAATTTCATTAAAATTAGGAAATTATCTTATTTTTGCAAGAATTTCCAAATCAATGTATTTTTCACCGCAAAAAGACGCTAAAATTTTTCATACTAATTTATGGTCACCCGTTGACTTAAAAAAGACAGTTTTATCAGAATTTCGAAGATTCTAAAAAAGGATTTCAAAAAAAAAAAAAAAGAAAGTGAAATAAGGTGTTATTATATCACGGATATAATAGTGTCCATAACGGGAGAATAAACCTTTTATTCCATAGCTCTCTGATTATATCACTGTATTATACGCGCCAACATGACAATGTTAAGAAGAAATAGACAAGAGTTTATAATAGCGCAGTGGGTTGTGCAAGGGCCATTGCGAATCGTAGGAAATTAGCATAATCGTGAGAGACCGAAAGAATACATTAAGAAAGATTGAGTTAGTGAAATAATTAGCATGTATGAATTTGGATCACGCAACGAATAGGGGTAAAATGAGTTCAAGTCGTGTATAGGAATTAAATCTATATAATAAATACGAATGTCAGTGTGTCACGCTTTTCAACTTTACTCCTAGAGGCCGTACCTATCATACCCTTTTTTTAAATCAGGCCGACTCTTAGCAAATTAAAAACACTTTGATCCGTATTCGGACCTGCAATCCTGAAATTTTGGATTCTCATGTTTTTATCACTGCGATTGTTTTTAGCGAATTTTTTTTTTTTTTTCGTGATTTTTTGCGACAATTTTTTTTTTTTTTTACGATGACAATTTTTATAACTTGGAAATAAATTTGGAAATAATCGAAATTAATTGCGAAATCCAGCGAAAGTCATTCATGAAATAAAAATAATTGTTCGTACGGAAAGTAAGGACCTACATACATCAAGTTGCCTTTAAATTAAGTGACGCCAAAAAAATTATCGTTGAAATTTTAAAAGAAAATATTAAGCCTTTTGTCTATGAACTCAAAAAAACATTAGGCTGACATTAAAAATATTAGAATAAACTAAAATTCGGTTGTAAATGTGGAAACTTTATAACACCATTTATAGAGTATTCAAGAATTTATTACTAGTCAAAACCTATTAAACATCTTTTAATACATTGGCCGAAGTAATTTAGGTTAATATCAATTAATGTTTACTTCAATAACCTATAAACGTTATAATGAAGAACAACAAAAAGATGTAACATTATTAACAATATTAAACTGGATTGTGTTAAAGGAACTGGAATGGTTATTATTTTGCAGATTTAGTAAAAATTTACTGAAATGATTTTTAAAACAATAAATCAAAAACTGAAACAATACAAAATGCAAGACGATTCCTTCACAGTAATTAAGGTAACCGCAAATTGTCCACCAAGAAGAAGATAATTTTAAATAGCCTAGAGTAGACCGGTACAAAATACTCTCTGCGGGCGGTTTTCAAAATAGTTCGTCTAAGACAGTGTTTCCCAACCTGGGCGTCATCACCCACCAGTGGGCGATTTCAGCTACTGGGCAGGCGATGAGTAACTGAACAGAAAAAGGTGGGCAATTGGAAGGTTTGGTGGGCGATATAGGATTTTGGCTATTAAAAAGGAATTTCAACATTGTTATATAGGAATAAAGTATCACTGCCGACACTTGAGTTTGAACACAGATCGCAAGTGAGCAAACACAGAATTGTGATAACAGCATCCTTGCAAAAACGTATTCTAAAGAAATTTCACATAGGACATCCGGGAATTTCTAGACTGAAATCCTTAATGAGGTGTTATACTTATTGGCCAGGAAACGGCGTACTGGAAAGGTCTCATCGAAGCATAAAGAGAATTGCAGTAAGAAAGTGTCGCAGTGTGCCCAATCACCACTCCCACCTTTTTGTAAACAACCCCGGATATGCCTGCCGGTAGAGAAAGGTCACGACCCTTGTGTGCTAAAAATAGCAACGACATCCTTTCAAACTGACAGAAACACACAAAACTCAATTTTCGCCACTAAACAAAAATAAAAGACCTTTAATTTCGAACCGAAATTAATTTAAATACAGTCAACAAACACCGAACACACTTTTGACTGTAATTAATACGGCCCGAAATTAATTATATTCATTTACTTGTTTAGCGTCACCGCTTCTCTTGTATGAACCGTCATATCTAGATGCCAGCTCACTCCTGCAGCTTTCAGCAGTCCAGCTCCTGCAGCTTCCAGCAATCTCCTGCAGCGCTTTACTGACGTCCCGCTACCAATTCCAGCACCCGCCGACGCCTGACGATCTAATCCTGTGCCCACTGACGTCCAGCAACCTGATCCAGCGCCCGTTAACGTCTGGATACCGTTCCCGAACAAACGACCTCTGTCGTCTTACCATCCACTGTTCGCAAATAAAGACACGATTTCCATCGTCTACAACGGACCATCTGCGTTTGTCATCCTTCTTTGCCTTGCCTTTGTGTCCACCTTTTTAGTTGTACGGTCGATTGGCACTCACACCGCTCGGCCCACTGCAACAAAAGCACTGTTCGATAATGGAGGCACTGTACTGAAATAATATCACACCGAAGAATGCACCCGACAATAGGATTCAGCGTCACCAACTTTGAGTGAGGGAAATTAGTACAACATTACCACGTGATCGTTGTAAGAATCACTTCTTGTACATAGGTGGGAACAAAGTGTGGGTGAAAGTTCCTCGCGGTAGGTGTACCTCCAGGTATCAAGTGAATCGTGTGACGAAACATTATGTCCACAAACAATAATGGTTGACGGGATGTCTCGGCATGTATATCTTCACCTTTTCATCGGCTCTGGTACAATGACGTGCGACTCCGACGACGATTTATCGTCTGAAAGTGATCTGGCAATGGAGCTCTATGAATCCGATGCTTCCACAGATGCAGAGATTCCAGATAGGCCTGATGACTCCTCTGGAGACGATTATCCAACACACCTAATGGAAAAAGGTCCCATTACGACGAAGCACCAGACTGAAGAGACCTGCTCCAGGATGTCTGATTTGTGACCATGAGATCAGTGTAGCGAAGAAAATGGCGGCTTGCCTCGTCAAACTAAGCGTCGTAAAAAAAGAAAGAAAGTACGCACGTGACCTATTGTTTGTATATAAGAACATGCAAATTTTTGGTCAAGCCTCAACCAATCACTGACTTCTCGACCAAGATATAAACAGGTGTTGCATGTGACTGGCGAACTGTCTCCAAGTCGTATATATGGGAGACTAGTTAAAAATTCATAGAGTGTCTGAGGCATTATGGTGGATGAGGTCAGAATGAGTTGTTTCGATGAAAGGAATATTGTTTGTATGTTTAGGTCAGTGTTTACGGCTAGCTAAGTTTAATGTTAAGACAGAAGATGACCATCCTTTTCCCCATTCCCACCTTTCGGACTTGTGCCATATTTGTACTTTTTGTGCAATAAATATTCTGTCTCCGAGTCGTTACCCAGCGAGAATTTCGTGAGACTAGCAGTTGCTGTATCGAAGTTTATCCCCTCAAAATTCTAGATTCTCAAAGACTGTTGCACTCTTATTTACATTATTCGGACTATTGTCCTCATCTTTGTCGCCATATTTATTACAACATTTCGGTCGTTGTACGTTCCGGCCTTCTTCAGGTGGTTGGAATGTCGAACTGAACCCTTTATTTCGCTCAATGGGGTAGACTGTTCTAGTTAATGGATGTTTAATGGATGTCAGTTATCAGTTATCTCCTGTTAATTTTCCCTCTTAAAGTTCTCCACTGCTCTTTGAGTCCTGTCACTGGATAATGTACATAATACCTCATCTCAGAAATATAGACAGATTTTGCACTTTTGTTGGTTTTTTTTTGTTGTTTTTTTTACTGCCTTCTTGTATTGTTTTCTTTGTCATTTTCAAAATCCTTGTCTTTTCCCAAACTATTTTTTCCATTTTTCGATGTTAATCCTTTATATATGAAATACTTATGCTGCCTTAATAGGCCCACATTATAAATTTTTTGAGTAAATTTTGTATTTGTACCTTTCGCTTGTAATTGTGTAAATAAAAGTGTTTTTCCTTTTAAAATTTTACGCAGTGTTTGTCTTTTGTAATTTTGCGCCTATTATGTTCTACAACTAGACTGTTTTTGTGCCTGGCGCAATAACTTGGATTTGGGAGGGAATAAATTTTTTTATAATATTTTTGTTGTAAATTCTCAAAGAACAGAAAATGTATAAATTCACTTTCATATGTTTGGGTTAAAATTCTAATCATCTCTTTTTAAACAGGGAGTGAGGATAGTTATAATAATAGCGGTGTCAATGGAAAAATTGTCCTTTTGGGAATAATACGTTTTATTACAAACGCGAACTTTAAAGATCGCCGATATATCTTATCTGGGCATCGTGTTTAACCTGTCCCCCCCCAAAATAAAACAAATTGCATCCGCACTCATAATGTTTATTCTCATCAACCGCACGTTGTTTTAAATTTCAATAGAACTGAACTCCTAGAAGTTGACTTCTAAATATTCGATAAGGTTTGATATCACCGTCAGCGATTGGAGAAAGTTCGATTCTGTTATAAATCAATCACATGAAATAAATGTAACAAGTGTAATAAGATGAATCTTCTTGGGACATACAGGGAAATTAAAAAAAAATTGGATTGAGGTTGAAAAAAATTGTGACAAAACGCGAGTAAAAAACAGCAAGATTAGAGCGGACAAACTCTCTCTTTTAGGTGCGGACGAATAATGAAAAAACTCCTGCTCGGTGTGTAACGATAAAAGAAGAAAGTGTTTATTTACATATACAGAAAAAAAGGGATAAAAGGACAATTAGGAGAGAAAGAAAGAGAAAAGAAAAAATGTCAGAGGGAAGAGAAAATGTTCATGACAGAAAAAGCCTTGCTCAAAATCAAAATATTTCTCTGAGCGCCTAAAAAGTTCTTTTAGCGAGTAGAATTTTATTAAAGCTTAGATAGAAACACTCACAGTTCTTGTAGAGTAGGGAAATCGTTGGTAGATATAGGAATCTTACAGTTGAGTGAGTTCGTAGGTCGACGGCAGAAGTCTAGTGGGCACGTCAGAAGGAGTGGTGAAGGGGTGCAGCTTTGAATTGGTCTTGAATTGTGGGCCGACGTTCGTTCTCGACAGAACTTAAGTAGGTAGTTCTTTGGTTGAAAGTGGTTCTGAAGTTGACTTGTGCTTTCTATCGTCGACCTCACAGACGGTGGTCGAATTCTCACTGCCAAATTTATGGAGATTTGGTAGGCTCCGAAGAATCAGGGACTTTTCCCTCCAAAGTTGTTGAACAAATTTCCTGGACCCTTCATTGGTCAGAAAATATATTCTTATCACTGATAAGAATCAAGGCCTTGGGAAGTTTTGAAAGTAAAAAGAGGTTGGAGTAGGGATAGAAAAACTAGCGAGAATGTGAACTTGTAAAATATTGTTCTCAAATTAAATTCCAACAGGCAATAGAAGCCGAAATTCGTAAATAGGTTTAACTGAACACTGCAATAACCCAACAAATCTAAGGGTGATAACTCTAAAATGATTTTTCACAAGAGGAAACATGACTATACTCACGTAGTGAGTACAGTCATACATGGTGGTGTATGTGCGTGCGCGCCCTTGCGTGTGCGTGTGTGCTTGCGTGCAACAGTGTGTGTGTGTGTGTGTGTGTGTGTCGACATAAAGAGAGATACATACAGAGATAAATATAAGATAAATCAGTTAAACTCAGAGATAAATGGAAATGACAGAGAGAAGGAGAGAGAAATAGAGAGATATGCATACATGAAGAGAGAAAGTCAGAGAAAGAGGGGGAGAGAGAGGGGGAGACATGCGGACATGCAAAGACCCAGCAAGAGAGAGAGAGAGAGACACACACAGAGAGAGATATGCAGAATGAAAGATAAAGAAAGAGTGAGACATAAAGACATGCAGCTAGATATGTTCAGAGAGAGAGAGAGAGAGAAATTGTTCATATTTCATTCTCAGGATATTTTGTCGAGAAGAAATATTCATCCTTTTTTTTTTTTTCTTCCCAGTTTAAAAGAGTTTTTGATTTTCTTGTTTCACTTTTTTGCGATTGCAGACCAAAGCCACGTGGAAGAAAATTTTATTTTATTTGTTTTAAAAACTTTTCCTTTCGCAATTTTCCGATCAAAGGCCTAAAAATTGGATTACAAAGGATAAAAGAGCAATTTTTTTGTCCTGTTTAAAAAATAAATAATTCATTTTTTTTTTTTTTATTTTTAATCGTGTGTTGACCGGGGTTAAAGTAGAAAGGATAGAAACACAACTCAATCGACCCAAATATAACCATTCATCGACTGAAGCAAGACAATTGTGAAGTTTCTTTCTGTCTCTTTTTAAATCTAAAAATCTTTCAACTCTTCAGTGGGATTCAAATTTTAATCTGGTCACTACGACATAACACCACCTCCCCTCTCCCATTCACTGTGCTTGAACAGATGACATTGTTTCGATTTTTCATGAACCGTCATGGGTATGTCGATAGACTACATCCGACAGCAAGTTCTTAATTCTTATTGTTCCTGGGCCTCTGACCTGGGGTGGTTGCACTTTTTAGGATCCCAGCTAGAGACAAACAGTGAACCTCCAAATTGGGGTCGAAAACACTATGAAAGTGTAGAAATACGTTTTTATAGTGAAGGTGCCAGCAATATATTTTCATAGTAAAAAAATTATTAGCAATAGATCTTTGTAAAAAGAATAAAAAATATTATCAACAATACATTTTTATAAAAGAAATTACTAATTCTCCCAAGAAAATTAAATTTCGGCATTAAATGACCCATAAGGTGTTGTGGTGCCGTTAAACAAATAAAACAAATTCTTGATGAGATTAAAAAAAAATGAATCTAAATTTTTAAAGAAAACGTTTAAAACGATAAGAAATAAATGAGCGTGTATTTTTCAAGCGACAAATTCTAAGACATTTAAACTTGGGTTATCTATATCTATCTATCTATCTATCTATCTATCTATCTATCTATCTATCTCTGAAGTGAAGGCGGAAACAAACAGCAAGATAATCAAACACCAAATGACAAAAAATGTTTCTGAGTCGAAGAAATTCTGCATCCTTCCGGTTAATAAATTAACCTTTTAAAAATAAATATTTAACATGTTTCAAACAACGAATCGCGTTCCTGCCGTCAATAAAAAAAAAAAAAAACATGCTTCGTGATCCCTTTGAAGAGTATATAAGCAAAGTTAATAGACCAAACAAGCCAGTAAGGAGATAGAGACGGCAACATACGACAACAGTTCCCTGACACATTCCTTCATCTTCCTCGCCAAGCTACGTTACACTTAGACTTTTTTTTCCTCACGTTCTCCCTTACCGTTTTTTTCTCACACATATACGAAGAAATCGCATTTCTTTTCATTTTAATAAGCAATTACTAACTAGGAGTGTAAGAACACTCATACACGCTACTAAAAAATTAGTTGTAAAAACACGAAAATAAAAATATTTTATATTTAAAAATCTTTCACGCCTTTTTCTTTGTTGTCGGTTGATTCAAATCCGCAACATATATATCTCAGTCTCTTTTTGATCTGTCTATATATCTATCAAATACCATTGTGAAAGGTATGGGTCTATAGTGAAACCAACAAATAAATCACTAAATAACCCCTAACTCTTAGTACCATACTATGTAGGAGTATGAAACCCAAATAATTAATAATAAAAGAAAAATTAAAAATTAAGTAATAAAATTACTTAGAATATAGATAAGAATGATAATTAACAATAAATATAGAAAAAGTGAGATTATAAAAAAATAGTTAAATAAATATTAAAACTCCCATTCTGCACCGGAACAAGCGTTTTGCCGTCAATTAAAACAGAAATCAAATTGTCTCACTTTTCATCTTCGACGGGCAAACGAAGCAGATAGCCGGGGACAGCGCTCTGATGGCCCGTGTTGCTACCAAATCAGATAAGCAAAAAAATTTTATTTCTATATACGTATATGTTCTTTAAAATATACTTTTTTTTCTGAAATATATACGAAAGCCTTTTATCGTTTTTGTTTATGTTTAATGCGTTGTATATGACTTGTTTGTAATTTATACATTTCCGTTGGGGATAAGATGATGCTAACCAAGTTGGATACATATAGAAAAGAAAAGAAGTTCATTCAAACAAGGTCAATGTATCATTAGTACAACCTCACAATAAAACCATCTCTTCCCTCTAACTACAGATTAAATGGTAGGACTTGTATCTGAAAAAAATCATTGTTATTCTAAAAGAAAATGTTAATGCAATAGGAAGTGTAAAAAAATCAAATCTATCTATCTAGCCAACTATATTGAGTGCAGTTTAGTTACCATTGCTGAAAAAGTTGTGCATGAACTAACAGTATGGAATCCAAATTATTGGAAACGCTCAAGAAATAGACCAGTAAGAATCATCACCGATCAACTCATAAATGACACAAGGAAAACTGGCTAGAGCTATGAGTGATAAGAATGGTGATGGGAGGCGGAAGAAGTGGCCAAAATTGTTTGTTCGAGGAAGATTATATATATATATATATATATATATATATATATATATATATATTAATTGATTTAAAATATGGTTTTATAAAATCTTATAAATAAAAAATAAATAAAATAAAAAATAAAAATAAAATAAAAAATTAAAAAATAAATAAAATATGGTTTATAAATCAATTAATTTATAATATTAATGTCTATAAATTTACATTGAGCACTATTTTGTAAAAATAAAAATATCTATAAGAACACCGGATTATATATATCTTACTGCTCTTTCTTTTATATATATATATATATATATATATATATATATATATATATAATATAAAAAATAGTAAGAAAAGGAAGAACAGTAAGATATGTAATCCGTTGTTCTTATTGATTTTTTGATTTTTTTTTACAAAACAGTACTCAATGTAAATTTAGAAAACATATATGTAACAATGAAACCATATTTTTAAATCAGTTAATATATATATATATATATATATATATATATATATATATATATATATATATACTCTTTACAATTAGAATTAAGATACCTTTAGTTAATGACCATTTTCACCTACGAATTTTAATTTTAAAATTAGCAGGTTTTTTCAAACTGTTTACGGTACCATTTTGTAGTGAGATACTGGCTAGTTGGGGAGAAAAAGAGAGGGGTGCGTTAAAAGGGACATGATGAGAGATATGGCAGAAGAGGGCACCATTACAGGGATTATATCATGGAGGTAGGAGAGCCTGGGTAGGGAGAGGGAAGGGGAAACCGATGAGCTGACCTACATCCTAATGGTCACCCGGCCAAAGTTTGATTCAAAGGGAATCCACGGAAATTAATGAAAACGTGAAAAAAACAATCAGGTGACAACTTTAAAACTTTTAAAGTTACCTCTTTGGAATGGCGAAAAATTCGCCAAAAAAGAGCACACCCCAATGAAAAAATGTTTTTCTCTTGTCTATTCTTTTATTTATATTGTCTTTACAGGAATATTTTATTTATATCTGAATTTTTACGCACACACAAACACATTGCATATAATTGCACTATTTTATCTATCTGTTGTATCGTCGAAATGAATGATACACAAAGAAAAATGGGTGTTTAATATATTTATTCAGCACCAGTATCATACAAAAAACACCGGACAATAAGTTACAAAACAATTAACAAGACAACTTACAAGGAATAGAGGAGGGTCAAATGTATAGGCAAACGAAGAAAGATCATTAATATTAATCAGCTTAATATCAACTTATTAATCGACTGTTGCAGTCCTTAATCGTAGACTATTTAAGGCTATGAGCCAAGCCATCTGGTAGACTGTTGAAGGGGTGCTAGCTACTCTACAACACTATCCAATTTTTTTCTCTTAACAGTCAGATATGTGTCATGCGTGATACACGCTTAGGCGATCATGTATCTTTCGATGACGAGGTCCCGCAGTATGTTGCCATTTCTTTCTGCGGTACATCAGTTGCCATTCAAGTCTATAGAATCCGCGCATAGCTGGGGGAGAAGAGGATTCATACCTTTCCCAGTTGTATTAGCACGTAAGTGAATGTAATGGATTCGACTGGAATTCGAACTCTGCTCTCTGGTTCTTCAATCTGGGCTGCTATACATTACTCCACCGTCTAGAGCAATGGTTATTTATCTCAACTTTTTTAATTATTAGCTCAATCTCAGGCATTAACTCATTAATTCAGCTATATGAGGATGGTAGGCATTAGTATGTTATACGTAAAAACATATAATTAACATATTTTTAACAACTGTAGTTAACACTGGATTAATAATATATTATCTTTTAAAAACCTATAATCAATACTAAATTTTTACAACTGATTCTGAACGTTGCCGTGGTCATTACGAAGTTAAAGAAGCCCACAGTTTCATCTACAACAGGTAAAAGAAAGGAAAATAGACAATAGAATAAATATTTTTCACATATCTATCTATTTATCTATATATCTCTATATATAAGATGCGAATTCAATTCTCTGTTTGAATTTATTCATTTTATTCATGGACTCTAGTAATATAGTTATATATAGATATATTAGTATATAGTTATATATAGATATATTAGTATAACAAAATCGATCCTACATTTGAATTCGCATCAGAATAAGAGAAATAAATTGAGTAGCGATTGATTGAGCGTAATCTTCAGGTCATATGCATTCAAGAGACTGTCGCTACTTAGTGTTTACATCAATGTCCACACTTGTTCTACACGCACTCTATAGTGAGCACTCTTAGCCCATAAATATACTATACCTTAAAGCTATATTTTATCGTGTGTGTGTATGTGTGTGTGTGTGTGTAGGGCCAGATTAAGACCCGTAGAGACCCTAAGCACTTAAAAGATTTTGGTGGCCCAATACATCTGCATGTTAACTATGTTAGTATGTGTCTTAGTGAGTCGTACAAAACAAGAACATTAGCTGAGAATGTACCTCGTGGAAAAGACAACTGAAAATAAATATAGAAGGAACAGAAGGCTCATCCAACCATCAAGAGAGGCCGATTATCAGTTCGAACCCAGAACACCATCAGTGCCCTGAAAACCCAGCCAAAAAGAAACGATAACATTTAATCAGCCAATGTTAAATGAATCACGCCTCAAAATCTAACAGAACTCTGACCAGAAAGGGTTGTGTAATCCACAAACCAGCACGTTGCAGAATCACATAAGCATATGACCAGGATAAAACCAAATAAACAAAAGTGTAGTCTATCCCTGGGATTGTTCACAAAAATTAAATCCCATAAAGTTAATTAGTAATACTATCTTATTGAAGCAGGGAGATGTGATGTATTGAGTAAATACAAACATCATTATCTCCCTTTGCCCATTCCTTTATTAACCAATCAGAATCACAATAAAGATTCACCTGGTCAGTCGTCTATCCGTTCGTCATGGCGCCCGGCAGATTCAAATGTTAATCGTGTTCAACTTACCGTGAGATATGAGCGTACCGACATACGAGCTTTTTTTTAGATACGAGCCGGAGTTAGGCCGTTTTTTTGGGGGGGGGTGCATTGAGATACAACAATCAGAATTTTGAGATACGTGCGATTTTCAGTTAATCATCCGCAGTAAGCGTGTTCACGTCTGCTCTGGATGGATCTCTGTTGTGTCTTTTTTCGCCGTTATTTTGCAAAATCACTTTACCATGGGTCTATCGCACCCGGCCGGAAGTTACTGCCGGCTAACTCAAACATCTAAAAGCGTCACCGCGGAAAACATAACGAATGCCGTTAACTTCCGGTGACTCAGCGTTTTCAGTCAACGTCTCACACAAACTAAAAAGAACGAAACATTTACATATACGAACTTTCCTAACCAAAAACAATTACCAGAAACCACTTTATATACACATGGTGTCCGAATGGAACCCATGTGTACAGCCAAAAAGTAGAAGGTAATTTTCAGTCATCACCCCAAATATATCGCTGACAGGCTACGTTGCCGACCTCAGCCTATATAAACACAGCGGATTTTTTTTCCACCAAATTAATTCTCCCGGCTGATTTTTGGCCTCGGGGTTGAGCGACGAGCTCCCCCTCTCACCTTCGCTGACCACACGAAGCAGCGAGAGCCAGCAGCAGACCAGCAGCAGCAGCCGCCCAGCTTCATCAGCAGCAGCTAGAGCCAGCAGCAGCAGAGCAGCCCGGCTTCATCCTCAGCAGCAGCCAGCCGGCTACATGATATGCACTAGTCTATCCTCGGCTACATGATATGCACTAGCCTACACACGGTTACATGATATGCACTAGTCTACCCTCGGCTACATGATATGCACTAGTCGTTTTCCAGACTACGCCTGGTTACATAATATGCAATAGTCCTTTTCAGGACTAACCTAGCCGCGTTATTACGAACGTCCTTTTATTAGGACTACCAAGCTGCGATCCTGCACGACAGTCTACCCAAGGATGAACTGAGTACACCAGCGCTGCCCGCGTCCATCCTCTTTCTCCTCAAGCGCCGACGCGCTCTTTACTCAAGTACAGACATCCAGGGATCGACTGGACCTCGAACACCGCTGTTCCATCGGCCTACCTCCAAGCTGTCGCCTTGAAACCTGACAACGCTCCTTCAAAACTACACGACCGAACTACCACGAACGATTATTTGTATATACTCGTGCCAGATTATTTAATAAAATTTGGCTTAAACTTTTACATCCTCCTTTTTGTTGTCCTTGCTTCGATCGTATTACCATATATTATTTTTCTGCTTGCGGGGTTAACAGTCAACCTGCTTAGCGCCGCAACAGGTCCGAAGAAAGTAAGTGTAAAGAGCAGTGGTGAAGTTTTAGGAACCTGGAACGGATCGGAAATATTCGCATTAATTTCAATGGGGAAAATTCTTTTGAGTTACGAGTTCGGTCTAAGAACGAATTAAACTCGTATCTCAAGACATTACTGCATTTTTTTTTAGATGTGTGTGTACAACAACGTCATATAAAAATTTCTGTGATGCAACCCCCCACCTCTTTCGTTTGGGGCTCTAAACACGTGCTTATTTTTCTGAATGGTTAATCCAGGCCTCTCTCTCTCTCTCTCTCTGTGTGTGTGTGTGTGTGTGTGTGTGTGTGTGTGGACAGAGAGAGAGAAGAAGATATTAGATTTTGTCACATAATATCGTCCCTATGAAAGAAGAAATTTAAAATCAAGTTAGCATAAAAAATAACTTTTTATATGTAACATATTTATGGGGATTTTCTTCCATAAATAAACATATAAATAATAATATCATATAAATAATATCAGTGAGTTATACCTGTAGGTTCACAGTGGATTTTTAATTAATGTGAAATTGAAACAGAAAGAATTTGTTTTTTTTTTTTTGTTTTTTTTTAACCGCAATTTATGTGAAAAGAAGTGTGTAGAGGCTTTTTCAAAAATATTATTTTGGGCCCATAAAAAAATGAAGCTAGGTAAAAAAAAATGGTAATAAGAATTGACTTACATCAGTTGCTGAAGATTTTTTAAAAAAAACGTCCTTAGTAAAAAGTGACTGCAAAGTTTACGAGGGTGTTACTTTTCTGAACCATTTGAAGTTGATAGGTTAACTTAGTAGCGGAAACACCTGAATGACTTGTCGAGTGAATGTAATTTGTGGTAAACTTGTAGGAACTGGTAGAGTCTAGGTGAATTATAATTAGATTATTGCAACATTTCGTGCCCGATTAGAAAATTAAAATCGAAATTTTACCTACTCACAAAAAGCATTTATTAATCAAGTACATTGTTTTTAACATCTGTCTTCCATCGTTCTACAAGTTTGTTGATGCCATTTTCGGAGAAATTGTTATATTTGTTGAAAGTAGTTTTCGACTGACTCTACAGAGTAAAATTTTCTGTCATTTAAATTTGGGGTGGGAGGACGCCCTGTATATCATGAAAAGCACTTTGTCAAAAACGTAGAATACATAATAAATGTATTAGGTCATTGCAAAAGTGCGTTCCCGATTAGAAAATTTAAAAACGAAATTTTGCCTACTCACAAAAAAAATTTATTAGTCAAGTACATTTTTTTTAACAACTGCCTCCCATTGTTCTACAAGTTTGTTGATGCCATTTTCGTAGAAACGTTGTGTTTTTTGTTGGAAGAGGGTTGTGAGATAATTTTCGACTGACTATACAGAGTCAATTTTTCGTCATTTAAATTGTTCTGTAGAGATAAAAATAAAAATAAAAATAAAAATCCGGAGGAGCCAAGTCAGGAGAATACGATGGGTGCTGGAGGGTGGGATACCATTTTAACTCTTTAAGTTTCTGCAAAGACGGTTTTGTAACATGGCGGACTAGCGTTGTCGTGGTGGAATATGACACTTTTTCGATTTGCCAAAATCGGCCGTTTTTCTTGAATAGCCGCATTGAGATTGGTGACTTTGTCACAATACTTCTTTGCAATTATTATTTCGCTGACTGGAAGAAGCTCAAAATTAATTATCCTCACAATGCAAATCGACCAAACTGACAGCAACACAACTGGATGCAAGCCCTTTCCTTTGTAGGTAAATCCAAGTACGCAGGTTTTAGTCTGTCTATAGAGACAGTGTCTTGCTTGCCTTTTGCTACAATTGTGAAATATTTGGTCTTTCTGTTGACTACTTGGAAAGGTCCCGTATAAGTAGGGCAAAGAGGCCTTTTTACTGTGTCGTTTCGTACGAAAACATATTCACAATTGTGGAGGTCTTTTGGAGTGTAAAGGTCTTTTGTTTGTGTTCTAGTGGGTGTGAAAACTAGTTCATTCATTCTTTGCTTAAATCTTTGTACAAAAGATGTAGTTAGTTGGAGTTGACTGGATTCATCACGAAACTGTCCTGGTAACGTCAAGGACGTTCCAAAAACCATTTCGGATGCTGTACATCCTAAATCTTCTTTGATTACATTCCGGATGGATAGTAATATTAGAGGTAGATTTTCTAACCAGGTCTTGGAATCATTATTTGCAGTTAATGCTGTCTTAAGTTGCCTGTGGAAACGTTCAATTGAGCCATTGGCACATGGGTGATAAGCCGTTGTTGTTATATGCTTAACTCCCAATAGTTTTGTGAACTCATCAAAGAGCGTAGATTGAAACTGAGAACCTCGGTCTGTAGTTATTACTGAGGGACAACCAAAAACGGCAATCCACTCATGTAATATACTTTTAGATATCGTTTCTGCAGATATATCCCTTAAAGGAACAACGACAGGCCATCTTGTGAATCGGTCGATAATAGTGAGTAGGTAACTATGTCCGTTTGCTTCTGGTAAGGGACCCACTATGTCAATGTGAAGATTCGTGAATCTACCTTCTTGTTTTAGAAAATGCCCAGGAGGGGACTTAGTATGTCTGTTTACTTTGTTTTTTTGGCACTTTAAACAAGTTTGAGTCCAGCGTTTTATGTCCGTATGCATGTTTGGCCAGACGAAACGATTGCTAATCAACTTGTCGGTTGCTCGGTGTCCGGGATGTGAGAGATTGTAAAAATGCAGAAATATCTTTTTTCTCAATGAAGGTGGAATATATGGTCTTGAATAACCAGTCCCAACGTCACAGAGTAATGTTTTTGTTCCAAATGGGACGGGGTATTCCTTCAATTGTAAAGAAGTGTCCTCTTTTATTTTGTATAATGTGGTATCTTCCTTTTGTTCATCTGCAATGAGGTCGAAGGTAAGGGTTTCAGAATCGATGGATTGTATCGTGGAGAGCGAGAGTGTATCTCTACCACGATATTGTCTGAACCTTTAATATAGCGGATATCCGATGTAAATTGGGATATGTAGTCCAGTTGTCGGGTATCTCTGGGTGTGTATTTATCTGTGTTCACATGTAAAGCGTAAGTGAGGGGTTTGTGGTCTGTGAAAACAGTAAAGTTTCGTCCCTCGAGCAGATGTCGAAAATGCCTTATTGCTAAGTAAATAGCTAGTAACTCTCTCGAGAAGGTACTGTACTTCTGCTGTGTCTTGTTTAATTTGACCGAGAAAAAGGAGATTGGCTTTTCTGAACCATTTAGCTTCTGATGTAGAACTGCTCCAATTGAATCTCCTGAGGCGTCAGTTGTCAATGTAAGTGTTGAGTTAGCATCGTCCCTGATGTAAGAGAGCTTGGTAAAATCTGCTAACGCTTTTTTAGCATTTTGAAATGCAGCTAACGCTTCTCCGTCAATCAGTATTTTTGCATTTTTCTTCTTCTGTTTTTGCAGCAAGTTTGTGAGTGGGGTCAAAATTCTGGAACAACCTGGAATAAATCTACGGTAGTAATTTATTAAACCGAGAAATCGTCTTAATTGACGCAGTGATGTCGGCTGCTGAAAGTTTTGTATTGCTGCTACTTTCTCTGGGACAGATGTGATTCCGTTTTTGTCGATCACATGGCCCAAGAAATTTAACTTTGAAACAGCAAAATCGCATTTGTGGACATTTATCTTTAAGCCAAAATGTGCCAGTCTCTCGAAGACTTGTTGAATATGGTATAGGTGTTCTTTTCCATCACGACTGGCGATAAGCACGTCATCGATATATGCAAAGGTAAAAGGCAATACTCTCAAAACTTCATCAATGTGTCGTTGAAAGGTTTGGGCGGCATTACGTAACCCAAATGGCATTCTGGTGAATTCATAGAGTCTAAAAGGAGTGGTAATTGCAGTTTTCCTTATGTCTTCTTCTGCTACTGGAATTTGGTAGTACGCCTTAACCAAATCCAATTTTGTAAAAACTGGTTCCTTGCAAACCTATGGCGAAATCATGTAAGTGCAGTATAGGATATCTATCAGGAACAGTTTTTGCATTGAGATTCCTAAAATCCCCACAAGGTCGCCATGCGCCAGCTTCTGGTTTCGGAACCATATGTAGCGGAGAGGAGTATGGGCTATTTGAAGGACGTATGATGCCTAACTGCAACATATGCTGAAATTCGTCTTTTGCTATTTCATATTTGTCCGGATGTAATCTGCGTGGTGATGCGTGTGTAGGTGGTCCAGCTGTGGTGATATAATGTTTAGCAGTGTGACGGATTTCATCTGTATGTGTTAAAGGCGTGGTTAGTGTAGGAAATTTTTTTATCAATTCATGTATGCCATTGGCCGTTGGTATTGCTGAACTAATTCCCGTTGACTTGTAGATTGAGGTGATTCCCTTTGTTCTTAGGTTTGTGTTACTGTCAATGAGAGAGTGTGTAGCCATATTCACTGATAAATCGAAATGGGATAGGAAATCAGCACCTAGGATAGGTGTTTTCACATTTGCTTGTGTGAAAATCCATGGAAAAGATCTTCTTAGACCCAAATTGAGCGTTAGTGATATCTCACCGTATGTTTCTATCTTTGATCCATTTGCTGTCTGCAATGTGTATGTGGAGAATGTAGGCTTTTGTTTTGTATTTGGTGGGATAACACTGATCTGAGCGCCGGTGTCGACTAAAAATAAATATCCGTTACTTCTGTCCCGGATGTAAAATAGACGACTCTCTTGTTTTAATCCAGCAGCTAATGTCGTCTTTACTTGCTGCTGGCATAGTCGTTTCCCTGGTGTTGTGTAGAAATGTGAGAAGTTTTCGAATTGAAATTGCATGGTTCAGTGCACT